GGGGGGTCTCGGGGGGGTTTTGAGGTGTCTCTGGGGGGTCCCGGGGGGTTTTGGGGTGTCTCTGGGGGTCCCCAAGGATATAGGGCCAGCAGCTTCCCGGCCACCTCGGCCTGGGGCAGGTACCAGGGATGCGTCGCCAGGAAGAGTCGGACGAGTTGGGGGTCCCGAACCTTCCCCTGCGCGTCTGGAGGGGCGGGGGGGTCACCCCAAAAAACACAGAGACCCCCAAACCACCAACCCCCTCCCCAGATTTTAAGGACACCCAAAATTTCAGAACTCCCCCTCTCCCAAACCCCCAATTCCCAAATCCCCCCCAAATCTTCCCCCCGCAAACACAGGAACCCCCAAACCCAAGGGGTCCCCAAAATCCTGGAACCCCCCCCCAGACCTCAGGGACTCCCCAAAACCCCCCGGACCCCCAAAATCGGGGTCCCCCCCACCGAAGGCATCGACGCAGCCCCTCAGAAGCTCGTCCAGGGTGGGGGCCTCGTCCAGGTCCAGGGAGCTGCTCATGGTGGGACCCCAAAACTGGCAGGGGGGGATTTGGGGGTGGGGTCAGCACCACAGACCGGCCAGGACCCCCCCAAACCGGATCTGGGGGGTCCCGAGGGGTCCCCAAGTCCTGAGGGTCCCTTGGGCACCAAGGAGTGGTTGGAGGGGGCTGGAAGGGGTTTGGGGGTCCCAGTTTGGGGGTCCCGGGAGGGGTTTGGGGGACTGGAGGGTCCTGGGGGTCTCCTTTAGGAATTCTGGGGGTGCTGAGGGCCCCAAACCCCCCCTGACCCCCCCAAATTCCCCCCCGGGGTTCTGCACACCCCGATAAGGCGGCGCTTCCTGAGCGCCAATTCCGGAGAATCCCAGAGCTGGGGTGGGCACGGGCCTGGGGGGACTGGGGGGACACTGGGGGGATACTGGGGGGATACTGGGAGCACTGGGACCGCGCTACCCCCGCAATGAGGGGAACTGGGAGCGTTGGAATGCGGGGCGCTGGAGAAACTGGGAGCACTGGGATGGGGTTACCCCGGGAAACTGGGAGCACTGGGAGCACTGGGAGGGGGTTCTGGGGAGACACTCGGGGGGTCCCGCACTCTCCTATCCCCCCCCAACCCCGAGACCCCCCCCGGGACCCCCCAGCCCAGCCCCACCTGCTCCGGCGGCCGCGG